CAGGGACTACAGACGAGACTTCACCCAGAGACCACCAGCAGCAGCTGCATCCATCACCGTTAATATTATCAAGTACTTCACATCTGCTACCAAGAATCTCTGAACACATCTACTACAGTCTTGCCAGTCTTGGACCCAGCTATTCCTCAGGTTTTCACACCACAGTGAGGTTGGCGAGGTTGCGGGTCCCTACACAGGAGGTGTAGCTGGTTGGTCAGTCGGGGGAGTATCTCCCACTCTCATTCCCTCTCCCTGCACCCAGCTCAGCATGCCCCAGTCCATGAGCAGCTCCACAGCTCTCCCAGCTCCACTACCATGTGTAGATGGACAGTGACACAAGGTGCACCGGTCGCCTGGTTCTCCTCTTGCCCCTGCTGCAGACCTCCTTCACTTCTTCTCTCCCTCACCTTTCTTCTCCTGCTTCTACTGCTCAGACCTTCCTCGTCCACATTATCATCACCATCAGACTCTGAAAACAACCACAATGCACCGGGAAGGACTCCTCCTCACTTCAGCAGCTCACACCCACTACCTTCCTCATCACCTATACCGCTGCACGCATCTCCTGCGAGGTTGCCACGGGCGACCAACATTACATCGTCGTCCGCCACAGTCATCGGGCGCCACGTGCGGAGCAGCTACAACCATCTACAAGGAGATGTGCGCCAGAGGAAACTGTTCTCCTACCAGAAATTCTTCCTTCGCATTGACAAGAAAGGAAAAGTTAATGGCACCAAAAGTGAGGATGATCCATACAGTAAGTCAACTGTGTTGTTTTTGAAAGATTTACATTGGTTGTTTCCATTTTTAACAGAATTTAACAATGCAAATAGCAGCTTATGAGAATTATAAAGCAAGTGATTACTGCACATTGAGCCATTTGGTTCCCTCATACTTTTTAGTTGCACCAAAAAAGAAAAAAAGCAGCTGAATGCAAAATTAAAAATTAAACTTTTAAAATTTTAAATGAAATATCTTTCAATGAGAAAACCTTTGTAAACATGTCTCCTGTTTTATCTGTGGAGAGTTAAGTGTCTGTTTTTCCTCACTGGGAAAAACATTTAAGACAGGTGACTGGGCAAAAGAACAAATAGCAGAGCTGCGTGCTTTCCCAGCCTTTTCACCATGTGTAGAGGCAGGCGTATTTGCCAGACGAAAGAGTTTGGGAAAAGAGAGCATGACAGTAGAAGAGTGGGAGAGGAGTGGAGAAAACAAAATGAGTAAGCTAAGCAGATAAAAAACAGAGATGATCCACTGGAACCAATTAGAAATTGCCCAGAGAAAGTTCTTCCTCTCTGAGGAAATATCCATAACACAGCCATTACCAAACCACTGGGGAGAATGACATTTATTTCTTGCTGCGAATGTGCTGCAGCAATAAAAGTGGTGCGTATATGCTAAAGTAATAAACATGCAACTTCTGCTCCTTTTTCGGGCTGTGTATTTAGCTGTGAAGTGTGAGTTTAACCTTTATTAATCCTGAGAAGGGTCGCAGAGCACACATGCTCTTTTGTCAGCACCACTCAGCCTTACATTCACACAGTTACACCCTTTCACACTGTGGACTGTTGGCTCTTAGTCCTCTCCGCTCAGCTGAGAAACTTCATTTGTGCCTTTAAGGCACCTTATGCTTCCTTAACTATAGTATCTGAGGTAGGAAGGAGTATCATTTCATGAAGGAATGGAGAATGAACAAACTTTACAAGCTTGCTATGAGGAGTGATGCATGTTAATGATATGCATGAAATGAAATTCTGATAAAGTACATGTAGCACTGTTTATGGTTGCATAAAAACCAGACTGAACAGTTTTAACTATATGTTAGCATGCAAACCTCAACAAAGAATTCAGTCTGCACATTAGCCAAGATGAATAGTTTTAAGGACTTGTAAAAATCATCATAGTCAATTATGACTGATCCAAAACAGAAAGTCAGCTGTTATCACTCTGTAGTTATCTTCTAGTTAAACACATCTGGAAGTTCTCCAGGACTGCCACAGTCTTCTGGCCTCTGAGCAGCTCAGAATAGCAGCCTTGCTTAAGGGTGCATTGACAGCGGACGTTGAGGGAGAACAGAACATTACTCCCACATTTACCTGCCCTGAATTTTCCCTTAAATAGATGTGTGCTGTCCAAAACAATGAGCTAATTTCATTAAGATGATACAACAGGCTCTCGCTGCATTGTGTCTACTGTAAGCGTTTGAATCTGTCACACCATGTGAATCGTGAGTGTCTGGGAATGTAATCTACTGTATATAAACGGATCTATCACTCACACCCTTGTACACAAGGCAGAGGTGTGTGTGCATCTGTCTGCATGTCTGTGGTGCTGTACAAGTGTCTCCTGCTGAGAGTGCGCACACACACACACACACACGCACACACTTGAGCACAGAGGCCAGTCTTGCACATGGCCTCCATATGGCAAAGCCCACTTTTATTAGGGCCAGGACCGGTGTGAATATGTGTGTGTGCGCCACTCAGACACCAAGTCTCTGCCAGACATGGCTGAAGGAATTTCAATTAGCGTCTCTTCCTCCCCTCCTCTGGCCAGTCCTGTCTGACACACAGTTTTATACACATGCACATAAAGAGCTTAACTATTGGGGTGCAATGTGTCACCGACTGTCAAGGCATCAGGTCATGGCATTAGAGGCACTATCCATCAATTTCATCAGCCCTTGCAACTTAAGACCTATGGAGAGGGAAAAATTCTCCATGAGGACGTTGGCATGGAGGCCAAATCTTTCAGGCCATAGTTTGCCTCGGTGGCATACTTACAGTACAGTAGCAGACGTTTCATTTAGCTGTATCTACCAGATAACAAGTGAAGATGTAAAACGTGTTTCCAATTACAAGATGGAATTTGGAAAATTGATCAGCTGGGGAGATCTGGCTGTGATGTCTGCATACCATCACTCTATATTGTATTTTGGCTGTCCGAACACTATGTTTATGCTAATGCCCACCTCCTGCAATTTTGCTTGTGCTCTAAAATCAGCGGAGAACAAATTGTACCATTCAAACCAAACAAACAGAAGGTAATTAAATTCTCGATCCCTCACTGAGAACAGGGACGTGATATTTGACATACTAGATGTCCTGTTTATTTCACGTGATCGGCCCTGCTCAGATCTTGATGTGTTTGTGCGTCTGTGAGCTTTCAGTGCTCCTTTTGCTTATTTATATATGCTATAGATTAAAACACTGTTCATTTATACTGTATAGGTTTATGGACAACCAAATCAAAATATCCGTTTCAAAGCTGCAGTTTTCTGCCCTGTATGTGCTCATTAGAAAGCACAGCTCTTTTAAGATGATGCCAATATGACTTGCAAACCCACTACATATAACATATTGTATTGTTTAATATAATTGCATATTAAAATCGTGCTGCTGTAACACAGCGAAATCAGGTGTCATACATCTGTAACTGGACCCTTCCTCTGGAAAGCAACAAACTGAAAATTAGTGAGGAAGCAGTTGGTTATCATGATTGAGTAGTCTGGTAACATTCAAGAGGTCAGATTGCAAACGAGTGTCATTAAATGGTGTCAGAGGTGATCAAGACATTTTTAGGTCCACTTCTGAGGTCGGGGCTCTCCTCCACAGCCAAGCCTTTCTTCTCACACCTGAGGGCAAGTGTTTAGGGTCTGTCTTGTGAATGTGTGCTCACTAGTGTGCCAACAGCGTTTGTCTATTTTTGTTCATATGCCAATTAATCCATCTCACCTCTTAAGGCCTACAAAAGAAACCACTCGGTCTGAATATCAAAAACCTCCTGTGCTGTGATTGACCCTGATCCTGACACTGACCATAAGCAACAAAACTGCCCTTGTGTTGTGTACAAACTGTCACATCTTGTTTGCAAACAAATTAATAAAGCAATCAAACAAATGGGCATGTGTTTGCAGTTGGGCCACAGACTTGTGGGTTTGTGCTGCTCAATTAGCAGTGATTGGTCTCAACTTGACTAGAGCTGGAAGCTTCGACTCTCACCGTGGCCAGATTGTAAAAACTGCTCCACAAATGTGCTGTTAGAAATTTCACACTCTAAAGTTATAAGATTAATTTGAGGCAGCTTTGGTGCACAAAGCTACAATATATTTGAATTTCCATAATAATCTCAATTTCCATTAATACACATCAAGTGCAAATTCTCCATCTTACCAAGTATTTGTCTGTTATTGAGTGCTAAGCCCCCCGCCCCAAACAAGAGAAATCAATGTCAATGTAGTAAGCTTGTTTTAACTTCTTACTAATATGAGCCAGCTTGTTTCTACAAGTCAGAGTCCATATCTTGAAACAAAACAAAATAAGCAGATCTCTGCACTGAATTTCAAAATGTATTTCATTCTATAAAGTTTGTGGGAAAAAAGTTTGCTCCTCTGCATCCATAAACCTTCACTGACTCAGCAAGATTAAAAAAAATGTTATAAGTGTTTACTCTTACTGATTTTGTGTCTAATTAAAATGACTCCCAGTATTTTCTGTTTCCTGAAGTCTCCATTTCGCTGCCTTACTGTCCGTTTCTCTGCTGGATGAGCGCGTTTAGGGTTCTCATGGGAAAAGGTAACAGTGTTGCTAATAAAAGAGAGTTATGAGGAGATACTGGATGCACCAGAGGTTAGTGTCAGTGTTGCTCTTCATTCAAAGCAACTCTGGCAACTTGGACTCTCCTCTCCAACAGTTATAAATAACAGTGGCGAGCAAATGTCACCGCACGAGCTTGCTCAGAAGATACCAAGCCCATTGTCGAGTGCTGCTAGAGCCAAGCTTCACATCAACAATTACATTCAGCTGTAATCTGGAAACGTACTATAAACACGTACTTCTGGACAAACATACTCATGTATTTGCTCCCTACAATCATCCCTCTAACTACACTAGCATTAAAATGCTTATGAAATAAACAGGAGACACTCTTGACAGGTTGTAAAAAGGAAAACTATTCAAGGTAACCATTGTTAATCAACTTAAAACATCTTATCAGATACAATCTGCCTGTGCCAATGGACAAACTTGAAGAATTCATAAGAACTTTTATTATTAGACCCTGTACAACACTCTCCATGTTGACGTTGCTTTATTATCTAAACTGCAGCGGGAGTCTGACCCAAATCATGTCAGCTATGATTGATGACTTCTTTTAGAGGAATCTACAGAGCAAAAACATCTGTCCTGAAACATCACCTAATATTATCTTACATAAGAGCGATGCCATTTTACTGTAACTGACAGTAACCTGCCTCAAACATTTTGAAACTGCTTTATGGATAATGAAACCAAGTTGAAGTAGGTTAACAATAACATGCTACTGGTTTCGAGAAAGACAGATTAACGAGCCTTTTACTGGAAGCTTAATGGCATATCATATAAGTTCTTATGTAATCGTTAATGCCCCATGTCCTAAATGCTTATTTGGGGCAAAACCTTTCCCAAGTCCTGAAAATCAGGCCATCAAAGTAAAAAATAAAAAAAAGTCTCCGCATTGAGAAAACAGTTGTGCTTTAAGTACTGGGTGCACTCTAAAACAATGTTGTTGGGCAATAACTTCTCTGTTCTCTGGCAAAATATTCAGAGTGTGTTTAGCATGTTCACGTTGACTGCAACAGTCTAGTTCAATGTTGGTCTACATGTTAGAGGACCTAGTCATAAAATAATATTATTCACATTTTGACAGAATGTCCATCTGTAAAATTTACAAGCTACCATTTTTTGTCATAGACTTCCAGAATTGATGAGATTTGAGAGA